TATAGAAAGAGGGTCTGAAACTTCTCTACACGAAATAACTGCTCAATAAAGTGTTAATTTCTCTTTATACATTGTTTTTATGTTCCAACATTTTCGCAAGCTGCCAGGAAGGCAAAATAAAGAACCAAGTAGAATTGTCCAATTGTCTACCCCCCCCCCCTTGATGGCAAACTCCCTTCATCTTGTTAACTACAATTGGTTTGCAATTGTCTACTAATCCTCAATCTACCAATCTCCCGGTACCTGTGGTTCAAATCAGCTAGATGCAGACTCCTATTTTTACTTTATATGTATGGTTCGAGAAAAAATTAATAAGGAAACTCGCCTATGTGGGTTTCCTATATACATCTCTACCTAACTTATTACCTTTGCTCACTAATACATCCTTTTCTATCTCCATGGGAAACTTAGTAATGGCGTCTATTGTATTTATTAGCTCAAGAAATTTACTCAAACTATCTTTGCCATTGAAGTTGTTTGATCTTGTTTTCGCAACTTAGTCATATTGGTAGGAAGACTTGGAGGAACGCACCTAGTCCATAGTCCACAGTATGCATTGTAATTTCCAGAGTCGGACCGTGGACGTGATACATTCACAGACGCTTCTCCGGCATCGTAGTCGACGATGACACAAAAGACCACAAGATCTTAGTCTTCATGCCTTCGAGTATCTTTGTCGTGTTGCAAAACAGCAAAGTAATCGTCCATATACCGAAATAATAACTTTGGAACTAGAAGTGTCTCTGGAAGCACACGAACTTTTAATTGGGCCAAGTAGTTATTGGCTAAACTAGGGGCTAAAAAAGATCCCATATCCAAACCCCGTGTCTGCTCATACAACTTAACATTAAAGGTAAAATATGTATTATGCATTGCCAAATTCACTAATCTAATGAATGAAACTTTGCTTGGCTTTTTAACTGTTGAGATTTCAGGGTGCTTATCTGGAGGTAATTCTAGCACCTTCAGCGCCTCCGAACATTAGTGAACATAGACACCACATCGAAACTTACTATGGATTCTAAGGAAGTCTAGACTTAGGAAAACATTGCAAAGGTACATTCCTTAATTAGAACTCAGACTAGAGTTAGGCAACTCTTGTCCGAGGCTCTTAGTTCGAAAGACTTCCTTAAACTCAAGAGTATTACTGATAGTTTACATGACTAAGTTTTCCGACAGGTTAGAAAGGAACACGCTAAAAAATTAAGAAAATTCGGTATGGGAATTAGCTCATGGAATCGACCCACATCTAATATATTGAAGTGTAGGGAAAGCCGTCTCCCAAAAGTGGCAAATGTGTCCAAACTTTCATTGGACATTTCTACTGAGGAGGTCCCAGCAAAGGGTTTAAACTTTGCCTTTCCAAATGGTAAACAATTTAAAGAGGAAAGTTTGGTAGAATTGATAAGTTTGACGGATAGTTTCCCAGAGGAGGCTGCAAGTGGTATCTTATTACAAGTTGTCCCCGTAATTGATGGTGATGTAGAAACACCATACAGGGATAGGACAGTTAATGCTATTATAAGGAGGTTTAAGGCGAATGATCGATTAATATTAAGAGCGGACAAAGAAGGAGCAGTAGTAGTTATGGCTAAGACTGATTATGTAGAGAAAATGTTAGATGCATTAGTTGATGATAAAACATATAAGACTATGATTAGGGACCCTTAAGGTCGGATGTAAGGATATTCTGCTTGAATTTGGTTGTGATGATGAGGATGTTCGTCACATGAGGGACGAAAGCTTAGCACTTTTTCACCGGAATCGAAGAAGATTGCCCGGAAACAGCGTCAGCATGAATGTTCCAGTAAGGCCAATCGACAACTAATTAAGAGGAATCCACCGTCGTCTTCTGGTGGAACCGATCTTCGAATCTCTTCACCCAAAATATTTCACTCGAAACGGAAGTGAATTCTACATTTTTTAGAAGTGGGTTGACCTCGTTGTCGCAACTTGGTCTT